TATATATATATATATATATATATATATGCAGCCCATCTCCCAAGTTTGACTTAGGAATCAATACACAATCCACTTGGGGCGTTAGTGTGGTTCAATGCACCATCTTGCTTTTTCAAATCAATTGATGAGACGTCTTAATGAATTCATGAACTGAATTAAATGCAAATTAGATATCTGCTACTAGTCGGACACTATGCAACTTTGAACAATATGATCTAAACTTGTTACTGAAGGTTATCTCCACTTATGCATCAAAATTTGAGGTAAATTTTACATTATTTTGCATCAAATTTTATTTTCAACACATTATATCAATTGATCGATGTTTATTCATTTTCTTCAATTTTTAATTCTTAACAGTTTTTTATTTGAAAAATTATTTGTGTTTATTTTATATTTTACAAGTACAAAATAAACAATTATTTAAATTAAAGAAAATATTGAGTTCATTAACAAATTTAAAAAAATGTAGTACAATTAATAGAAATACCACTACTAAGAAAATATTAAACAACAACAACAACAACAAAAACAACAACAACAATAATAATAATTAATTATATTACAGAAATGTAAAACAAAAATGGACTCAAATACCCTTAACCAAATTTTTTGCAAAGTGAAAGAGAAGGACAAAATGGTATTTTACCATTTTGGTGCTAGTTGGTGTTACACTATTTATTTGCACCATTTCAATACGTTGGAGGGGATTTACACCAAATATTTGATAAAATTTGATGAATTATGGTGCAATGGCGGAGGGTTGGAGATGCCACTTAAAATGGAGGTCCCTGTTTTTGGTGAAATAAATAAATGCCTCACATATGGTTGGTTCATTAAATGATGTTAGGCAGAGATTTTGGTAGCTTCTGTACGCTAATCTAATTGGAGATTAACTAGACTCTTTGGTACACAATATTAAAGATCAATGGCACAAAATCTTAACAAATGGCAAAAATGCTTAGTTTTGCTGTTTTACCAGGTAGGGGTTCACACAGATCCCCTACCGACCCTCTTAGCAGTTGGGTCCTCAAGCAGGACCCACTTATATAAAAAATTGGCCATAAACCCACTCAACCCCCAATGATGGGCGTGGTCGGTCTCTGTGATCCCCTACCTATACGTCAAGCTTCGTCCAACAATGCAATTTGGAACAATTAGAAATCATAGCTTTCGAGTTTCAACTTGTTCAAATACCATTTGATATCTCATAATTAAGAAAGAAAACCATTAACTTCATGATCTCGCAATAAATTACACGAGACAAAAACGTAAAACCAGAAAGAAAACAAATCTAGGAGCACAAAAAACACACATTCAATAATCATATGGCCATATATAATTGAAATATTAAAAAAAAAAAAGTGACACTTTTCCCCTTTCCACTAGAAACCAGCATGAAATTTCATTACAAATGGTGTAACTCTAACCTTTTCTTGTATGTAATGTGATTCTACAAACAATTGTGCAACTGCCCCCATTAAAAAAAATCAGGGAACTCAAGTTGCTCTAGTTGTATAGCCATATGAATAAAGAAACATCTACTCATAAAAATCTTAGACTCGACCGTCCATGGTAATAAGAAACACCACCTGCCGCCCCTCAGGGCACATCCGAGTTGGTGGAACAATCACTTCGCTGGGACGCTGGAAGTAAGGGTGGGGAGTTCGATTCCTGGAGTTAATACTGGGAGCCATATGGAGAGGAAGTCATTGGTGTGAACAAACGCCCAGTGAGGAGAGCTCTCTTTGCGGAAGGAGTCCAAATGAGTTGTGGGAACTTGGGAGCCAACAAGGGCACATCCTGCGATTTACCTCCCTGAGCTGCTGAGGGACCGGAGGTTCAGGGACAAGGATCTAGTCGGACGCAAGCCCAGACACCTTGTAAAAAAAAAAAAAGAAAAGGATCTAGTCGGACGCAAGCCCGGACCCCTTGTAAAAAAAAAAAAAAAAAACACCACCTGCCATGCTAGCTTGCTCAATGAATACTGATCAAGCTATATGTCCTCAATATCAACAATTTGGCAGGCAATAAGAGCACAACCAGCAAATGCATGTGCTGAGATGCAACTAGCCGACTACACCGTTTCAAAGACTCCCTCCCAGCCTGAAATGCGCCAGAGAAATGGAACTGACCCCGGCCCATATTACCTGATGCGATAGGCCTACTCATGAAGATACCGCCATTTACTCCCACTGGTTCCAAAAGTGACCACCAAACTTTGCGGCGCTGTTCTTTCTGGGCTTTTCTTATGGAGTCAAGTTCTTGATGGATAACATTCCGAACAGAGTTGAAGTACGACTTCATGTCGTGATCTCTTTTAATGGATCCTTTCGAACCATATGCAGAGTGATCACTTAATATCTCAAGTGGATGTGGTGAGTTCAAAAATATTTCCCGAGCAGCTTGGATCTGCTTCTCTGCCTCAACGACATTTGAAACCGGACAACTCAACAGATAAAGACCACGTCCTGAAGGAAGAAGATCATGGTTCGGAGAAAAATTCTCATCTGGCTGAAGAAGTAAAAACTCTCCCATTGGAGCATATAAGAGCTTCTGCAAACACGAGAGTGCAGAAGAATATTTCGGTTACATGAACTTGACAAAATGTATTGCAACAGTTCTAACGAATGGAATTAGCCCATTACCTGGCTATTAAGGCATGGATGATTGCGGAAGTTCTTATTGACAGCCTTGAGAAACCTCACTACGTGATTAGGATAATTGCAAGAGAAAGCTCGAGGAACAATATCTCTGTGCATTGTAATTGCCTGAACATGACTTCGAGGTAATCCAAGGTCGAGTAGGAGTCGATCCCCTCCACACATAATTGATGGTGCACCAAAAGTTATAACAGGAAGTAATGAAGAAACGGGCACTTCGCCTCTTATCAGAAACATGAGATTCAAAAGCAATGATAAACTTCCACCAAGAGAGTGTCCCGTGAAACGGAATGTGGCCCGATCTCCATGAGATTCTAGATGAGCACGAACTTCAGGCAACATCTGCTCATACATCCCCTTCGCAACTTCATATATACCTCTATGTACAAGCACGTCCAATCCCTAATGAGAAAATTTGTATAGATTCCTTAATTAATGTTATTTCCACAGATATAGCTCACATTTTAATCCCAAAACATGAAGACTTCAATAAATAGTTCACAAGCTTGATAGGAAATTTAAATATGACCTCAAAATGAACGGGCTCGAAGAGCAGATTCGCTTGCCACGATGCCATTGATTCAGATCCCTGCAGTAAAGAAAAGCAGAATATTGAGCAATAATAATCCTGGCTGTTGATTAATTTCAGTCTACCAAAGTTCTCAATGGGCCATCAAATTAAAGAATCGCCTATAACCTCATACATAATACACCTCAGTGTGGAACTGCATTGACTCCCAAATTAGATATATTACCCAAAACTACTTCAAAACATTTCTTTGGCCAACATACCTGAATGACAAAGAATCTAGTGGCACTCTTATCATCATCACATACAAACCACTCACAAGGTGATGCACGAGTTGAGCTTAGATCATCTGCAACAGCCTGCTTTACTTCCTCCTTTGCAGCAACTACTGCTGTCACTGAATCAGTGGTTGCAATTAATGAAGCTACATCTTGATTTATCATATTGACATCGTCCGTTCGTCCATTTATTTCTTCAAGCAAATTTTCTCCCAATGCAGATTTTGAGGACTTGAAGCCAAGAATGCTCTTCGTGTGAGAATGTAAATATGATGCAGCGGAGGCAGCAATTTGATAAGTAGCAGATGGGCTAACTCTGCTCCCATTCATCTTCTCCTTGCTTACGGTTATATTTCCTAATGCCTCACTAGCTTCAGCCCCCATCGCCTTCTCATCCCCAGCTTTCAATACCTGTTTTTTCTTCTCCAATGAAGATGTTACGAAGCGCAGTCCATGGTATCTCAGGAGATTCCCTGGCTGCACCAACAGAAATAAAATTAGCCTTTCCATAGCAACTCAACCAAACATAACTCCTATAAAATTCATGCTTTGCACAAACCGAATCATAAACAACAAACTAGCAATAATACTTTACCATCAGTTTCCTATCAACATTGCCAGGAAGATTTCAGAATTTATCTAAAATATCAAAAGCAACATTTAACAATTCTAACCAAACAAGATTTCCCAAACCATTTAAAAGCTCAAACATTACTATAAAAAATAATGAATTCCTTCTGTGAATCAATCTCAAAAGGGTACCTTAATTTGGGTTATCGAATAAGCTAAATTTGCCAAATAAGACATCTGAGCATATAATCTAGCTTCAGCCAGTGGCACCTTTTGAAGCATCTTTGAAAACGATTCTCTATCAAATTCAATTTTATTGTCATTTTCTCCATCAATCCCACATACATCACATTCTCCATGTTCTTCACAGCAATCCTCATTCTCACTGTAACCATTATATTTTCCGTCCATCCCCCCAATTTTATCCTCTTCTTCCAATTTGGTCTCATTTTCTTCAACAAATATACCCTCCCTCTCGTCTACTTCCTTCCACAAGGACCTAACATGCAAAATCTTGAAAACCCAATTCCCATTCTGCACTTCTTTCTCTCTCTCTTTCATTTTGATCTCCTCCTTTTCCTCCACCAATACGGCGTCGTCAACCGCGATCGCCGGCTCGCACCGATTTTTACCTCCAGTCCAAAGAGATCTAAGTGGGTCCCTGAAAGTAAAACCCCACGGAAAATTCCTCCGCTGAACTGCCGCCGCCGCCACCGACTTATTCTCCGATGGTCTTCCGCTGGCACTGATCTGAGAATGATAGCTTGTTAGAACATCCATCCCCGCATAACCCGTGACGGATATTGGCGGCGCAATTCCCTGAATCCCCGCCTTTAAACACAAAGCGTCCATCGTAAACAACTTTCCAGAAAAATAAAAACGGTTTTTTCTTGTTGATTCTTTGTTTTTCAATCAAACTTTAAGACTCTTCATGCATTTGTACGTATAAATAGCTGTAAAGAAACACAGTGTAGGGGGCCAACGTGAGATGCCGATGCATAGGATGTTAACTTTCTGGGCTATGTTTGAATTTTTTGAATGCTATTTTGTGATGAATCAATGAATGTAAGAAAAAAAAATTGAGAGAAATTTAGAGAGAGGAAGGAGGAGGTTTCTTGGGCGTTTAAAGTAGAACGAAAACAGGTGACCAAACTTTACACGGTCTTTTCATTTCTTTTAGGTATTCTTCTTACCGGGGAGAAAAAAAAATTACAGCGAAAGCGAAATTAATATTGAAAAAAATTAAAATTGTGCAGAATACTTTTATGTATTGAATTGATTTAACTTGATTAAAGAAAAGTGTACCAAATTTTTGTTTATATAGATGAAATAATTCTCTAATCTTACTAATATAAGGAAACTAAATTAAATCCGAAAAGGATTGAAAACTAAAATCTTATATAAATAAGAAAAAAGTCATCATATTCTAATCAAGAAAATAAAGAAATTTTACTCTAAATAAAAGAAGAAGAAAAAATCTTATTCTAAATAACCAAAAAAAAGAAAAAGAAAAAAGAGATAAAATTAATCCATATTTGAAATATGATTGTCCCCTATCATTCTCTCTCACTTGAAAAACACGATTGGTCAAAGAAGGAAAAATGCTCAAAATGAACATTTACTTAGGTGAACAATTAAATATACAAATTTGATGTAAAAAAGATCTCTTTTGTATATAATTTTACATGTGTAAGATATTTCAAGCAAAAAATAATGTTGTATGATCAATACATTAAATTAGATAGTAATACGATTTTGAACCTCGATAGAAGTGATACCAGATAACAACAAGCACAATAATCGTCTTCGATCGTTATATGAGTTCCTACGAACACCAAAAATGGGTCGAACAGGGCCCAAATACCCTCAACTCATAAATCGAAAAACTCTCACTCTAGGGACTAGATCTTTTATATAACAAGAAAGCCTCAAACAGGCCCGAGACCACTTAGGAACTAGATGTTTTTACTCACAAAAATTGAAAAAGAGAATCCTCATATAAAAGAGAAAGAGGCTGACACATAAAACACACAACAAAGGCGCCACCAAAGAGAGAAAAATAGCAAATGATTTGGAAAGAAACAAAAATTGAACAACGTGAAGAAATTAGGGTGACAATCTAGATTTTATATCACATGCTGCAAGCCATCAATCTTCATATTAAAACAACTTTTCAAATGAGCTCTCTAAATACGGACGCGTTATTGAGCAGTAAACATTAAAGTTGCTACATTAAAATAACACTTTAACTTGGACTAGATCACCGAGTGGTATTATGGGTTTATCGGACTTAATTGTTTCTTCGAGGCAAAGGCCTGAAGTATATGTTTGGGGTTGTCATTGCCCTAAGTTTGTTTAGAGCATCACGACCTAGTAAATATGAGCAATAAATTTCGTGATACCCATTTTTTCTACGATCATTAATTACCTAACGAAAGGTTTTCTTAGCTAATATTAAAATTCAAACCTCATATTTTGTAACATAAGCCAATGTGTTATAAATAGACTAGACTAGTTTGTTTGATTGAACAATTTGGATCAGATTCTTTCAATTTACCTGGATTTTTGGCGAAACATCACTGGATTTATCAATTAATTTTAAAAAAACTAAATTTTCTTATAATTTTTTTATACACTCATTAAGTCATTTGAATATTGAAATTCTATAAAATTTTAAATTATTATGTGGATGCATTAAAGAGAGAGAGAGAGAGAGAGAGGATGAACGTCGTCCTCGTGTAGGTGTTTACTGGCTGTATCTCAGTTGGATTACGCACTTTGTCGGGATTTTACAGCTCATCAAGCCAATAATAAAGCGCGTGGTAAAACGTGCCAAGTATGAAAAACTTCTGTCCATGCCACGTGTATATGTCTTTCAAGAACTAAAGTGGTGACCGATGACGTGACACTTGGGTTTCCTCCAAAGATGATGGAATGCACACAAATGGTCACTTTGGATTTAGTTAAAATTTATACTTTTAATAAATTTTAATAAAATATATTTTTAAAATTTGATAAAAGTTACAAATACGTATGATTAATTATTAATTTTGACTTATCAACTTTTTTAACTATATCAAACATGAACTTAGTACGATAACACTTATAAATGAGTTGTCATTGGCTTAACAAATTGTCACCTAATTAATTGTTCTATATTGATGTAGAAATTGAGCGTCTATCAAAATTTATAGAGCAAGTAATTTAAGTTGTTTGATCGACATGGTGAAAAAAAAAATGAAAAAGAGTGTTGAAAATTTAGAGATTGTGATATGAAGTAACCTTGATCTTCAAATTTTGATAAAGTTTTCATCGTGAGATGTGTTAAGTCAAATACTGGCATGGACAAACAGTTATTTTAATCATCATATCTCTTGAACTTTTTTTTCATAGTAATGCCTTATGTACCTTTATAGTTTCTAAAGATATTAGTGGAAAGAAATATAAGACAGTTTAGTGTCTTATTCCGATTAAATTTCAAAATTTATGATCAATTAAACTAATACAATTGAACGTAAGAGCATATTTGTCAAAGGGCTTTGTTACATGAACAGAGCGTATTTGTCAAAGGACTTTTGAAAAGGGCCTATGTGGTCCTATTCAACAAGAATAATACATTTGTCAAACAATTAATCTTGTTGGATGGGGTCATTGACACCCCCGTTTACAGGGTTTTGAATTATCCTAGGGAAAAGGTAGCGGTAGTCATTTTTTGCTTGTCTCTCTCTCTCTCTTTATTGCCATGTAAGTCGGGATTTAGCTTGTAATTTGAACTTGTTCGTGTAGTCGGACTGTTTGTCAAATTCTTACTTTCTTTGATGAGTTAAGGTTTAGCACCTACAAGGCAGAAGTTAGTTTTACAACTAAAAGTTACCGTTCTATACAATGACAAAAAAGGAAAGGATTAGTTTTACAACTAAAAGTTGGTTTTATTTTTGGAATTGGAATGGAAAGGGTATGGTTTCAAAAGGGGGAAAAAAGCGCACTTTCTTTCATTTTTTCACTTTTATTGCTTTCTTTTTTTTTCAATGGCTGGCGAGATTTTGACATTTCAAAGTTCTGCCACGTCATCATGCTGTAACAAATTCTGTAAAGTATACGTGTATAACTATTCAAACAAAAAATAATGCTATCCATTATCGGTTTAGGTAGCATTATATGATAGATTCAATTAAATGTGAAATTATGTTATTCATTTATTGAACCTGTAATTCAATATCACGAGTTCTGTCACCTAAAAAGCAACTATTCAGGAACTATGCTTCATAAAAACTTCTTATGAAATTAACAAGCTTCTTGAGATTTTACTTACAGTCCAATAATTTTGTAGAAGTAGATCTACAATTAATTGAATTTTCTTGTACATCAAATTATACAATATTACATAGAACTAAAATAGAAAATTTTAAGACCTCTAAATTATTTTCTTATTCTTTAATTTGTTTCACCCGTTTAATTTACCAATTCAATGTAAAACAAAGGGCCCCAAAAATTGAAAAAAAAAAATTTTTGTTAAAAGGGAAAATTATTTAGAACCCTACGATTAAGGACTAGCTTCTGTAAAAAGGTGTTAAGTTTAAAACTTAGATTTCGGGTGTTAATTACATATTATTAATTTAATATTATATTAAATAAATTACTAATAATTCAACCAGGAAATACACAAAAATGGATTTTCAACTGTAGCAAATTTTAATATTGGCCTTTGACCCATTAAATGAATTAAAAAAAGAAAGAAATTAAGTTTAAAAAAAATTACACTAAAAGGGCGAATTTACCCTTCAACTAGTGACTGTTTGAATCTCATTTTCTAATCGACCGACCAAAAAAGAAAATCGACGCACAATCGCCTGAAAATTGTCCGATCAACCACCGGCCAACTACACCACCGTTGTAGTGAGCTTCACGCATCTACACTGGAAAGAATACCGGTTAGTTTTCTCGCATAGAGTTCCAGTTGAAAATTTATTGAATAATATTAGATTTAATTAGATGAATATTCGGTTTGATTTCTATCATGAGCATGAGTAGTGCTAGATTGTGAGCATGCTGGAATGAAAAATGTGATATTTTTTGTTGGACCTACTGGCCGGCAATGGCGATTTCCCGCAGAAACGGGGAAGACGAACTGTAACAGTCGGGTTAACCCGGCTATTAACAATCCCAACAGTCATGGGCCGACTGTTAACAGTCGACCCACGACTGTTAACAGTCCAATTTTTTTTAAAAAAATATATTTAATTTTTATTTGTTTTTTATAATTTTTGTAATTAATTTAATTTTTTATTTGATTAGTAATTATGTTATTTATTTATTTAATTTTTATAATTGTCTTTTATTTATATAATTTAATAATTGAATATTATCTTTAATTAACAATTTTGTGTTGTTCCTTTTTTTTTTTATAAAATAATCTTTAATATTTTTTTTCAAATTTATTTAAATAATATAAATATTCTTTACATTTTTTAAAAATGTATTTAATTTGAAATTTTTTGTTTGTAAATATATTTTCCAAATGATTACAAGAGTAATTTTCTTTATAATTAATTTATTTTAATTTGATTAAATAATAATTATGTTATTTATTTATTTAATTTTTATAATTACCTTTTTTTATATAATTTAATAATTGAATAGATAATGTTGTCCGAAATTAACAATTCTTTTTTTTTCCTTTTATTGTTCTTTTACCTTTGATTTTGTTTCGAATTTGTTTAAATAATATTTATATTCTTTAATGTTTTTGAAAATGTATTTAATTTGATTTTTTTAAAATATATTTTCCAAATATAATATTTGTGATTAATTTTCTTTATAACTAATTTATTTTAATGCGTATTGTATGGTAGTTAGAATTCAGTTCCCTTAATTTTGTGAGATTATGCTTTCTTTTGTTATCTGTTGTTCAATACTCTAACATTTGAATTTTTGCAGGATGGAGTATCATTTAGATGGGGAGTTGAGACAGATGGCAGGGAAGGCTACTTGGAACAATAGTTTTGAGAGCTTTACTGCTGTGTTGGAGTTGCTCGATGATCAGCACAGAGATATGCTACGACAGTCCTTCTTATGGCCATTGTACCAGTTGCAAGAGGTGCAGTACTCAGGACAGATCATCGATGCACTTTT